AAGACTTACAGAAAACGTTTGACCTCTGTCATTGCCAACAAAGGATATATAACAAAGTATTGAGATGAACTTTGATATTGACCAAATACTTATTTTCCACCATGATTTGCAAATAAATTCTTTAAAAATCAGACAATGTGATTTTCTGGATTTTTTCCCCCATTTTGTCTCTCATAGTTGAGGTATACCTATGATGAAAATTACAGGCCTCTCTCATCTTTTTAAGTGGGAGAACTTGCACAATTGGTGGCTGACTAAATACTTTTTTGCCGCACTGTATAATCCATTGGGCTACTGAATGAAATAGCTAAGCTACAGTTCCATTTTTTAAAAAGATTATGTCTATTGTTTTAATTCCACACATATTTGAAATTACAAGTAACCTAGTATGTCAGTTATGGCTTTTTTTCAAAATAAGCTTTATCTCCAATCAAATGCAACCACTTTGATCATCAACAATATGAAAAATTAAAGAAGAAAACTCTGAAGAAAACTCTTCCCAAACAAAACCCCTTTTCTCAGACCAAAAAGTGTTTCCCCAATGAAATAACCTCTCTCTTTTTATTAGGGAATACACAATGTTTATATCATATGATATGTTCTTTCCACCATGTTAATTCACCAAACCATGTTAATGTTCATTAACTTCCACTAGTAAGACCCCTTGGTAACCTCTCTTTGACTAATGTGTAGTTTTGGTTCCACATTTTGGACTATTTCTAAAAGGTGCTTCTAGTCCTTTGCTTCGTGTCCCATGGATTTGTATGTTACATCAATGTATATCATATGTTTGTAAGTATTTACACCTTAGATTGTGAATACAAGAATATTAGTGTATTAGGCATCCTATACTTACAATCTATAGCCAGACAATCCAAAAATTGAGCAGGTGAAGGAATAAGTAAACTTTAACTGGCACTGGAGGGCTTGCCATCTATCTCAGGATGTACAGTAGCACACTGGTCATAGTCCTATATTAGAAGCTTGCAAAATTCATCGAAGGGTCTTGCAGTTGCTATCAGTAAGCAGATTACGATGGGTGGAGGTGGGTTTTGTCGCATCTGTGAAATAACTAGCAGCCCAGCAGATCTTAATTATTTTTAATGCCTTGACTTTCTCAGCCCACCAATTCTCCCCAGTCCATCTCCTTCAAAATCCATTCCAATACCCCAGCCATTCCGACCTGCAGATGAAGACCATCGGAATCAGTTTGGTCAACGTGATCGCTCATCGTCTGCCCCCAATGTGCACATCAATACAATAGAGCCAGTCAATATTGATGTAAGTTCCAAACTAAGTGTTTTCTTTATAATTAATGTATTTATTCCCTTATCCTAAACATTTGGAGACAGGTGTAGCAAAAAAAAGCGCTACAGACAACTGAATCCTTTCTTCCAATTTACAAATAAAATCTACTTGCTATTTTCCAAAGGTGGGATGTAGTAGCTGTGAAAAATGGAAACAAGACTTACCTGGTCCAGGAAATGATCTGAAAGGCACACAATTTCATCCAGCCTCTGTACCTGAGAAGATTTAGCCACATACATTGCTAGAATTTAAAGACTATCTTAAAAATCAAGTAAACATGCTTAGCTTCTTGCATGTGTTAAACTGATCAAATACTATTTGGGGGCCATATGTTGCCTATACTGTGTTATACTAATAGATTATCTGTCTGAATCTAAAATCAGACATTGATTCTAAGGGCAAGCTCACATACCCTGTTTTTAAATTATGGCTAGCTCTTTGATAAATTGTGGTGATGACATGAATAAGCAAATAGGTCAAACTTGTTTGCATGCAATCTATCAAAAGAGCCTTCAAAATGGAGACACAGAAAATTACAGAAATAACAATTCCATCCCAAAGCTGAATAAATGTAAACAGTATGGATGCAGTTATAGTTGAAGACTGCAAGTATATCATGACATAGGTGAATGTGTTTTGGTACATCACATGCTACGTGAATCATCATGACTTTTGATTTAAATATTTTCAACCAATTGTTGTAGTTTCTCTAATCTGAAGTAGCTAGTGAGAATCCAGGAGTTAAAAAAAACTCTTTGAATAAAGGGCTGGCATTTGATTGGCATGATTAGATGCTACATCTACTCCTTTCCCCCCTCCCAAAGTTAACTCTTGATTTTATTTTACCTGATAGTTCAGTATTATTCAGAAGCTTGCTACTTTTCCATTAATGGAAGTTGGTCCATATGCTAACACCTTGGCTATTTAACACTGCTAATTGATGGTCATTGTTTCCCTGTATCTCCAGTCAGTAGTCTTCATTTTCCTCCCTGCCTCTCTAAAACAATGTTAAGAGTAGCTATTAGATCTAGCCATACTTCTCCAAATTGTTTCTTGACAGTTCACTTCCAGACCCAAAAGAGCTCAAGTAGTCTTTATTGGATGCTCAGGTATTTGGCAGATAAGGGAATATTTTATAGGTTGGTAGTAAAGTATGCTGTAACTTTGCAGCTGCTTTCAGTTTGTTTTTCTTAGTTAAATGAAATAATTTGTACTATATCACCTGTCCTACTAATGACAAGCAATATACGTAATGCATGAATAAGGTGCATATAGTTTTGTTTTTGGTTTGTAGGACTTGATTAGAGATCAAGGGTTGCGAGGAGAGGGAGGTAAGTTACTTTGTTCTCTTGCACACACAATGCATTGCTTTGCCTCCTCCCTTTTAAACAACCTCCTTTTTGCAAAATACAGACACAGGAGGGAAATATAAATAGTGCAATGAAATTCAGTTGCATTTGCTTGTCCATGACATTTAACGTTGTCTGATAAAAAATTCAGTGGTTCACATTTCAGTGTGGGTGAAGGGAAGATGAGAACAACATGCAAAGTGGTAGCCAGTGCTTTTTAAAAAAACAGATAATCAAAGATAATAGAAGGCAACAGGCCTTCAGCTGACCCTCTTCCTCTTTCTTTTGCCCTAAAAAGCTTAAACCTGCCATCTTGCTATATTAAAAATGATTCTTTTTAAGATGTCTGTCAGCTAGCACAATTTGTGTGTGTATGTGTGTGGGTGTATGTATGTATGTGTGTGTGTGTATATATATATATACACATACATACATACATACACATACACACACCACGTATCTTTAGATGAATTCTGTTAGTTAAACTGGCCAGATTAATCAATGAAAAACAACTTTGAGCAACTCTTAAAAGAGGCTCCCTAGCAAACATTATTTTGGATACAGGTCTTTATCAAGTAAATAAGCATTCCATCCTGCACACATTCAAGAGAAAGGAAGAAGAGAACCTTTCTGAAGATGTGCTTATACTGTCTGTGCTTTTAATCTGTAGAATGAATAAGTTGTTAATTGATGCAGATGTCTTCAATCCAGTCATCATCATGTTTGGTGGCCCCTCTTAACTTGAAGTTTTTAAGAAGTGTGGACATGTAGGATGCTCCCATGCTATAAGAATGTTCAGCAGTTTTCTCCAGCTTGGCATCTCCAGATTGTAATTCCAGGAACCATGGTCAGGCAACTCTGGAACTCTGCCAATTTGGAAAAGAGTGTTTCAGGTTTTATGAGCAGGTCTAGCAAAGAGAAACTTCACCACCAAAAGTCATAACTGCAGAAGTGTGTATTTTCCCCACCATGTGACATATACACCTTTGGTGGATGTTGCTGCAAATAGCTGCAAATCCTGTTCGGGATAAGCTTCATTAATGCTTTGACTTGGCTCTTTCATTTGAATGTATGGTGCGGGCTGTACCATGCAGTACAGGAAAGCATGTGTCCTTAATCAGCTGGCCTTTTTGCTTTCCATGGCATTTTTTGTTTGTTTGTTTTCTTTTCTTTTTTTTAATACATTTGCAGCCTATGCCTTCACTGTAACATTTAGTAGAGACTCAGTTTTTAGTCAGGATTTTGTTTCTTCTCCCTCCCCGCTTTCCCAGTTACATCTAACAAACTGGCTACTACTTTGCAAATCTGAGATCGCAGGTATGACTTCAAGCCATGAATGCTACCCATTACATTGCCCGTTTGACAATTGCATATGTCTAGGGAGCTGTGGCTTTGGAACCGTTTTGCCCGTTCTGTCCAACATTTAAGTGTTGTGTACTATTATGTCATTTAAAATTCTGGTCAGTAGGCTCTCTTTGGAGCTTCTGATAATATGCACCAATTCCCAACCTTTTGAATATATGCTGTATTTTGTTTTTGAAATGGAATTACAGGTTTCTGCCCTGCAAAATCATAAGCAGTCTGTGCATAGGAGTCTAAGCACCTCAGTTATGTCCCATGACTTTCATTTCTTCTGTGTGTCTGTCTTCCTGTCTCTGCCTGCCCGTCTCTTTCTCTCTAACAGCCCCTATGAACCAGCTGATGCGCTGCCTTCGGAAATACCAATCCCGGACTCCCAGTCCCCTCCTCCATTCTGTCCCCAGTGAGATAGTGTTTGATTTTGAGCCTGGCCCAGTGTTCAGAGGTAGTTGGGCTCTTCTTTCTCATTTTCACCCAAATCAAACTAAATAAAACCACAGATGCTGTTTGTGCCTCACCCTCACAGCGTGTGTATGTAAGTGTGTGAGTTTATCAAAACATTGTCATTTTATTTATTTTTTTATTATTATTTTATTTTATTTTATTTTATTTTATTTTATTTTATTTTATTTTACTTTATTTTTGGCTTAGCCTGGCTGAAATGCTTTGAATGTGCTTT